CCAGCTCCCACTGCTGTGTGCTGCTGGTCTGGGAGTGGCTTGTCCAGCGGCTCTTGCCATTGCACCCATTCTGGTCCGGGAGAGCATGGGGGGGCATGTGCCCCTGGATCTGTGTGGGGCGGGTGGGTCTGGGGCTAAGGCTGTGCTGGGCTGCGCTCCAGGTGGGCAGTGGAAGGTGCTGGGAGTAGGGGCTATGCCCTCCTGCTGTTTGCCCAGCTAAGGCAGGGAGGAGCTGCTGCACTGCCTCCAGACAAGTGGCACACAGCAGTGGGAGCTGCTGTGGCCTCCCCACACCACCCAGATGATCAGTGGCTTTGTTCTGGGCCACCCCCCCTGGAGGCACATGCCTTCCCCATGCCCTGCCAGCTGGGTAAGTGGCAACAGGGCATGGGGGGGCATGTGCCCCCGGATTGGGGCAGGGTGGGTGGTGGAGTGGGGGCTACAGGAAGGGCTGCAGCCACTCTAAAATTCCCCCATCCACTCTAAAATTAACTGTAGCCCCCATAGCCCCCACTGCCTGCTCAGAGTGCAGCCTGGTGCAGCCCTGGTCCCACCTGCCCCACCCCAGTCTGGAGGCACGCACCCCTCCAGGCCCTGCCACCACTCACCCAGCCACGGCAGGGTTGGGGGGCACGGGGGGAAGCCGCTGCTTTTCTGAGAGGCACGGGGAGGCCGGGGTGGCTTCCACTGCTGTGTGTCACTTGTCCAGAAGCAGCGCAGCGGCTCCGCCCCGCCCTGACTGGACAAGTGGCAGGTGGGCACAGCCCCTGCTCCCAGCACTTTCCGCTGCCAACCCAAGCACAGCCCGGTTCATCCACGCCCCCACCTGTCCCGTGCAGATCCGGAGGGCAGCGTGCAGCGGTGGGAGCCCCCCTCCCCGAGTCCTGTACCCTGCCACCCCAGGAGGGCAGCTTGTCCCAGCCCCAGCCCCAATCCCTCCCTCACTGTGGGGGAGTTGATCTGCCCCCCACCCCCCTCCCCTCCCCTCCCCCCTCCCCCTACCACAAGGGGCTTACCAGCTGGAGGCAGCTGTGTTGAGTGTCATAATGTTGAAACCAGCATTGGAACCTCGAAACGGTGTAAATTTATAAAGGTCGTAAGTGCCATTTGTTGGAACTCGAAACATGGTTAGTTGAGGACTGCTATTACATGGTAAATAACTAAGGGCTAAATCTACAGAGGGATTTGGGAATCACAATGTTCAACACTGTGTGCAACCTTTCTTTTAAGTCCCTGGCATATAGAGGAATTATACAGAGGAGTGTACTACTGCCATTCCCTCTCTCTTCCTCTTCCCACTTCCTGCTCCCCCACCTCACTGAATTCAGCAACAGAGGAAAAGAAGTGATGAGTGGTTCACCCACTGGACACCAGAGTCCCACCAAAGCCTATGCCAATCAGCTGGTGACCTCAGAGAGCTTACAGCACATGCAGAGCTCTTACTATATCAAAAAGGAGAATTTCAGGTTAAATTCTTAATTGTAAAATTACTTCTTAGTCTCATTTTCAAAAGAGATTAGCACCTATACTCAGGGTCAGATTTCCAGGTCTTAGGTACTAAAGTAAGTAAGGTATTGAGCTTTTTTTCCTTTATATATTTTTTATTTATATAAAAACCCAGCCTATCAGATGCAAAAGATTAACTTGTTAGAACACTTTGACTTTGGAGGGTGTCATCTGCATTATTTAGGTCGGAAAGTTGGTTGAGAAAAATTAATCTTGTTGATGAACTCTTTATCCCAGAATGCAATATAAAGCCTGTCAAGCAATGTAATATTTTATAATTCATGGTGACCATCTGTGCAGTCTCAGGCATACAGGGATGATCATAAACTCCAACCTAGAAAATCTTGTGTCCCACAGTATACAACAGCAGTAGCTTTTTCTTAGAATCATCTGGATTGGTAGTAAACGCCAAGGGTTTTCTGGTTAAAAATGATCATGTATGTTTAAAAAGTATTAAATTAAGATTGTTCAGAAAGACACTTTCTCTAAGATAAAATTATAACAGGGAAGAAATACTGAATGTTGGAGGGGAGGGGAAAAGGGGGACAGGAATGGGGAAGCCAGTGTTGTCTATGGGGTAGGCCAGAGGATTGGAAAGGTAGGAAACTCCAGTTTTATTTCCAGTCTTACATTATCCTTAGCCAGTACAAGAATGTATATCCTAAAGTTCACTGGAAAAGCAGCTGGTTGTACAGATGTTCCTGGTTGCTCTTTCCCTCCCCTCAAATTCTCTCTTGTCCTAGAAAGTTGCAGGAAATGACATCCAAGCCTCTAACAGCTTCCAAGTTTGGGTAAATCACTTCCTCATTATTAAATCTTAGCTTTGTCGTTATTGAAATGTGTTGAGGCTTATCTTGAAAAAACCCAGTTGTAATTATTCTGAGACATTTAGAAAAAATAAAAAGGACTATGCAACTAAGGTGCAAATGCCAAAAATTATAAAACCAAAATCTGATTACACCTACAGAGAAACAAACTCCTTCTTACTTCCACACATTTGATTTTAATTAAAAGCACATTTCTGCAGCAGCCTGTCTAAATTGATGTATCCTGCAGTATGCCCCCAGGGTCAAAAGACTTGGAATATCTCAGGTAGAAGCCTGTTTCAGACTCGAGTACCCCTCATAGAAAGAATGCTGAGCTGATAGTTAGTAGCCTCTATTTACCCATGGTGCCTCACAAAGGTGTTGTAAGGCCTACATTTATTTATGTATGTAAATCCTTTTGAGAGATTTGGGTGAAAAGCACTATTTAATGTAAGTGAACTGTTAGGCATCTTCAGATTTTCAAGCTGCTTGGAGCTGAAAATGCTATCTTCCCTGGGGGGTACCACTCAGTCCCCTTTGAGATGTCCACAGCACTCCATATTTTTCAGGTTTCTATACACCCCCCCCAAAATTGCATATATCACTTGGAAACCTACAGATGCCAGTCAGTCAAAAGTGCTGCTGTTAAGCAAGATGAGGCTCTTTTTCTTAAAAGCTAATGTGCTGCCTTAACAGCACTCTCAGCCACAAGAAAACAACTTACTTTTCTTCAGTGGGAAATCCATATAGAAAATATCAAAGCTGGCAAACTTCTCAGATCTTGCTATTTCTTTCAGGACATTGGAAAGTTGTAAAGCTCTCTGAAAAGTCAAGGAAATAAAAAGATTGCTATTGCCACTGATGCCACTTTACTTGGGTTCAGCTTTTGTAACTGGAAAGAGAAAAGCCATTTAAAAAAATCTAATGATTCCTATTTAATGGACATAATTATCTACAGTATGAAACTGGGCAAAATTTGGGTCCTTCATTATACAGGATATTTGTAATGATACATGCAGTAGGCAGTGCAGGGTGGCTGACTTCAGACCATCAAAGTTAACTACCTTTCTGTACTATCTATCACACTTTTAGGATGCTGCCCTGAATATGTTGCAGAGTTTACCCAGGGATTACAAAAGGGCCTAATCAGTTATCATCATTTTGAGTTGTTTAGTAAGGTATGGGTTTTATTATTTTTTAAATCAAAGTAAGTTCTTTTAGTACTATTTCTCTTCCACTTTCATCATTCGAAATGCCTCATTTTGCAGGCTCCTTTGATGGATAGGAGTCCAGTCATCTTCATTCCTCTTACAGCTTGAAATGAGACTTTTTCCAGAGGTAAAGTTCTCCTTAAACCTTGTCCATTCTGGTACTGGGCATGTTAGTACTTACATATCCAGTGACAGATTCTCATCTCAGCTGTATAAACTCAGAGTAACTCCATTGACTTTAATGGACTCCAGTTAATTTGTGTGCCCAGTGTGATTTCCACTGGTGATCATGGAGATCAGAATCTCCTTAATACTTAATGTGCACAGTTTAAATAAGAACATAAACAATTATTTTCAGATAAGAGCTTAGAAAGTCGAACAGTTTCCGCAGATATATGAATTGTTCAAGAATTTATATATACAGAAGACTCTTAGGTGTGAGTAAATTTTTGAAAAATGTGGGGCATTTTTTTTGTCTACTGAATAGAAACATTAACACAAATACTGTATGCCCCCAGCTGCTATTTTGTACAATATTTGGATGACTTGTTCTATTATGTAGCTTCAGGGGAGAGAAATAAAATATATTTTTATATTTGGAGAAAATAAATGGCTAAAATCATGTGGTGCTCAGATGGTTCATTTACCATGTGTAGAATGACATTTTTAGGGTGGTTTTTAAAACCAGCCTTCACTGGCATTATTTTGTAGTCATACCATTCCATATACCTGAGGCCAAATCCAATTTTTAGGCATTTTTTGCTTGTGCAATTTGGAACTGACTTAAGAAGAGTTTCTCTGAGTAATGCTAGATCAGTTCTCTAGTAAAAACCGAATAGGGCCCTTATGATGGTACCCTTATAATCTATTCATCCTCCTCTTTCAGATTTATATGCTTCAGAGAAAACTGCTGAAATCATCTAAAACAATCCCTTTAAAAGGAGATGACGAAAAATAATTTCAAATGCTTCAGACATACCTCTGATGTGAAGTTCCTGAGGGTTTCATTTGAAGACATCCAGCCATTGCAAGGACTGATCTGTGTGATCACGAAAATACTGTTTTAGTGAAAGAAAGGAAGAAGGAAAGAAAAAAGGCTATCTGATCAACTGAAAAGGGACAACTTACTCGAAGACAGCTTAGGAATGAATAAAGTTGTTTATATGTGACATCTTTATTTAGCTGACCTGAAAAAGACAGATAGTTTAACTTTGCATGGTTTACAGCTAATGTTCTTCAAAATCTACTTTCTGGTTACTTTCTATTCCACCTATCAGATGCCAAAGAAGAATCAGGTAACTATTTCATCCTGTTTGAGCCTCTGAAAAACTGCTAATACAAAAGCTGGGTGGATCTTCCTCCTCCTCCTCCCTGCTTTTTTATGACTTAGTCTTAAGGCTACAGTGACAACATGCTTTAAAAGTAGACACACGAATGTTTTTTCAGGGACTCAAATGGGGTAGAAAACAATCACATTTAGGCCCCTCCTACATGTTACACATATTATGTGATTAAAGGTCAATTGTGCAATAAATTTAGACCAGCTACACATGCAAAGTAATTATCCCATGATAAAAATGACTATCCAGCTATAAAAAGAGCCAACTTTAGTTATAAAATTAGTACCTGAAAACATGTAACAACTCCATAACTGGTTTCTATCCAGCTTTAATTTGAACATGTAGCAAGGCCCTTAGGTAACTAGGTTGACTTAAGTGCCTAATAGTTTGAATAGGACCTCGCCCTAAATCTTTATCCTCAGAGATAAAGGATACTGAAAGTATGTAGTTTACCAGCTCCTGGTAACTTCAGTCCTGTTTAGTATTCTCATTCACTAGGACTGGTCATGAGTAAGGTGAGCCGAGGCTGCTTTTCTAGATTCAGGAATCAAGAAGCTCCCACAAAAGTCAGTGAGAGTTATTCATATGTGCAAGACTCAGATTTGCTCCCAGTATGCTAATGGTAGTACCAGCATGAATTTTCCACAGGAACCTTTCTTTTTATTCCCACACACACACACCTCCCTCTCCTTTCATAGTCAATTCAGCTGCAGTGCAAGCTTAGTCATAATAGTCTGTTCAACTCTCAGAGGTGAATGACTGATGCTTTATCCATTAACACATCTTTCACTCTCCAAACAAATTTAGCCATTTCAAATCCAAGACGAAGATTGAAGGTGACTCTGTACACTCTTAGTTGGAGAGGTTAGCTTTAAAAGGTAGAAACAATTTTCCTGTCATAGAGGGGATAGGTATGTCTGTGTGGGTGACTGAATTCAAACACTAACTTAAATACGCAACAGACATCCTCTGAAATTCACCATGTAACACAATGGCCCAGTTTGTGTAGCCTACTAAAAGGGTTTATGGTCCAATTGAAATAGAAAAGGAGATTTTTCATTCCTTCATGAACTAGGAAAAGATACCTGCAAGTTCTCTGAAGGATAATGTAGCACATGATAGATAATGGTCAGCCTTTTCAGGTTGTTATATCAGTGCCAATGGTTAACAGAGTGACCCTGGGAAAGAGAAATACTGTAGAACAGGCCTGTGTGAATAGGGAAGTATTTGATTTGGATTTAGATTTTGCCAATTTGGAGGACTGTGATTCGATTTGGAGATTTGGATCACTGTCCTGAATTGATTCAGCTGAATCAACTTCAGAAGATTTGGTGCTGACTCAGAGAAATTTGGTGATTTGGATCAGGCAGGGAGAGGCAGACACAGCCGAGTGGCTGCAGGTTCTCCTGCTGCTCCTCCAGCTGTGGCTGCCTCTCCCAGGTGGGGGGAGTCACAGAAGAAGCCCCCATGGCTGCCCTGCCTGGACCCATCCCCTGCCCGGCCCCAGCCTCCTGGCACTTTAAAAAAAATAAACAAAAAACCCCGCACTCACCAGTGGCAGGAGTGGTGATTGGGGCCTTTGGGTGCTTGTGGCAGAGCCCCACCCTGTGCAGCACAAGGCAGTGGCAACCACCCCCCGACCTGTGCTACAGCTGCCCCATGGCACAGCTGCCGCTCGGCTCAGCAGGATGCTGCACGCTGTCTGGGAGCCGGGGCTGAACACTTCCGGGCTCTGGCCGAGATGTGGAGCTGCCCCAACTCCCAGGCAAATTGAACCGGGAGCTGGGGAATCGAACTGGGGGCTGGGGAATCGAACAGGCAGCTGGGGAATTGAAGGGGGGGCTGGGGGAATAATCAGATCCCTGAACATTCCCCCAGTTCCCGATTTGATTCTGCAACTCCCCAATCTTTCCCCCAGTTCTCTGATTGCTTCCCCCAACTCTTCCCAGGGGGCATGGGTGCCTGGATGATGCAGGATGACAACAGGCTGCCACTACCAGCTAGTGATGACAGTGGTTCTGGACTATTTCCCCAGCCGGCAGCAGCAGCCTGGCTGAAAGCCCACAAGCAGGTCTAGCGGCCACAGCCCCTGGGAAGAGCTGAAGGAATGATCAGAGAGCTGGGGAATAGAGCTGGGAGCTCCAGCTCACGTGGGGGATGGCGATCCCCACTGCCCCATGCTGCATGGGGGGGCACTCTGCCACAAATGCCCAGAGGCCTCCAATCACTGTTGCCAGAGAAGGTGAATGCAGGGCTTTTTTTTTTTCTTTAAAGTGCTGGGAGGCTGGGCCAGGCAGGGGATGTGGCTGGGCAGGGCATCCATGGGGGCTTCTCCCATGGCTCCTCTAGCTGTGACTGCCTCTGCCCCAGTGGGGAGAGTTACAGGTCTCTGCCCTGCTGCCATTTGCCCAGCCTGCGTGGGGGTGGGGTGGGCGTGATGTAGGCACAGCTTGGTCTGGGCAGTAGTAGTGTATAGCCCCCGCTCCCAGTGCTGCCACGCCCGCATCAGCACTGGGAGTGGGGGCTCTGTCCTGCCACCACTTGCCAGGCAGTATGGGGGGCGT